AGTCAGGAGAAACACAGCTGCGATGCGGACTTTTCTTGCCTGATCCATGACACTACAACTGAAAATGGCTTCAAATTCGGAAAGAAACAACAACGATCATGCACGCGTGGACCTTTCGTCTTCTTGTAATCAAAAATCAAAAAATCTTTGCCCGACAATTTTTATGTATAATAAGCAGAAGGCCGGTTTCCGTGGGAATCCGTATCGTCATTGAGTTTTCATGGTGATATTGTGACGTAGACAAATGCGTCAAGCCGCGGCAGTCATGAGCTGCAAAAAAAAAAAAACACTGTGTGACCCTGCGTCTGCGTCAAGTGCTGCGGGTTGACGCTGCGTCCAGCTTCAAACTGCCGTAGTGTGACCGAGGCCTAAAGCCCGATTCACAATACAACTTTCTGCGACGCGACACGCGATTTGCGACAGTTGCGACAAGAAACTGCCTGTCGCGAGCTGTCGCAAGCTGTCGCAGAAGTTGAAGAAAGTTCAACTTTTGCGACATGCGACACTCGACATACACAAATGGAGTACAGTTTCGACCCTGGGTGCACGTGCAGTGCACGTGCATAGTACTACTTGTGCATGAGGATGTCGCAAACATGAAGAATATTGTGAACCGTGTGTCGCTGTCGCAGCTCGTCGCATGTGTCGCAAGTCGCATGTCGCGTCGCAGAAAGTTGTATTGTGAATCGGCCTTAAGCGGGATTCACAGAAGCTTTTTTGCGATGCGACACGCGATGCGACAGGCGCGAAACCGGGAAAACCCCAAATCGCAGCCATGTCGCACCCCACGCAACTGACGCAACTGGGCCATCGCAGGACATCGCAGAAGTTGAGCTTGGCTCAACTTTTGCGATGCGATGCGATGCGACAAGCGATTTGGTGTACGATTTTGACCTTTTCTACAGCAAAGTTGTACAAAGGTGCAAGAATTGCCTATAAATTTTTACAAGTTGTGTCAAACCGCGCGAATATCATGGTGACGTACCCAAATCAGCAAAACTTTGTCGCATCGCTGACTTCTTCTGTGAATGGTATTTCGCGAGTTCGCATCGCACGCATCCATCGCAGATCGCGTCGCATCGCGTGTCGCATCGCAGAAAAGCTTCTGTGAATCCCGCTTAAAGGCCGATTCACAATACAACTTTCTGCGACGCGACACGCGATTTGCGACAGTTGCGACAAGATACAACTTTCTGCGACGCGACATGCGACTTGCGACGCATGCGACGAGCTGCGACAGCGACACACGGTTCACAATATTCTTCATGTTTGCGACATCCTCATGCACAAGTAGTACTATGCACGTGCACTGCACGTACACTGCACGTGCACCCAGGGTCGAAACTGTACTCCATTTGTGTATGTCGCGTGTCGCATGTCGCAAAAGTTGAACTTTCTTCAACTTCTGCGACAGGTGCATTGCGACAGCTTGCGACAGCTTGCGACAGGTGCATTGCGACAGCTTGCGACAGCTTGCGACAGCTCGCGACAGGCAGTTTCTTGTCGCAACTGTCGCAAATCGCGTGTCGCGTCGCAGAAAGTTGTATTGTGAATCGGCCTTAATTCTTGCTCTGCCGGCACGCAACTTTATTTGGGGCAGTGCAATCCCGGCGCAACTCACAAATCAAACAGCCCAGACTCGAGTAAACAAATCCAATCGTACGAGATTTTCAAGAGACGAGACTGCACCCATTGGCTTGTTTCGTATGAAGCAAAAAAGGCACTGAATGCATGAACATCTCCATATTAAAATTAAATGGAGATTTTCCCTGATATGCGAATTTATTTTGCAAACTCGGCCAATGCTTTCCCCCCAGATTGGGAAATGCCAACGATGCTATGCCACTGCAAAATTCAGATTCTACCCTATGATCGGAGCACGGAATGCCGGAAGCAATCATGACCAGTGCCTTACTTGTAACGTACCAATGTACAATTAACATGAGTATTTCGACAACACATCTAAGCCTCAGCAGCAACATACAACATAAGCCTTACCGTCAAGAAGGTGAACTCGCGTTCCTCGCACGCTGTTGGCAAGGGCAAAGAGATATGAATGGATCTAAATCCGAATATAATCAGCAGACGACTATGGCGGACACCCAAGGTCAACTGGTTACTGACGTTTGTCGACGTTGTACATGTATTTAGTGTGTTGTTCTGACTCTTGACTTCTGAATGGCAACGTTTTCGTTCCCTTCTTGTCAAAATACTACAGGAAATGATGGATATAAGCTAAAAGACTACAACTATAAGGAAAAGAAGTTCAGAAATACATCACTCCAATTATGTGTAGAAGTGACACGAAAAAATAGATGTGGAGAATCAAGGAAACAGCATGCAAATCCAATAAGTGACAAAAACGTAGTGACAAGAAAAAGAGAGAAATATCAAGAGATCAAGGGATCTATTTCGCACCTTCACGACGAACAGCGCCAAACAACTGCAAAGACAACACATTCTCCTTCTGAACACAAAGCTCAGGGTCTAACTAACGTATGTACAAAGCTTCCAACACGGCAAGATGTAACAAAGACCTACCACGCGACAAAACAGGGAATACATCATCGGAATACCACTCACGACAACTAGCACTGCCCGACAGGTGACACTTGATTGCCGAGGTACCGTTTCCCTGACCCGACGACTTGGCCGTTGTCACCTCCGATCCTGCCGCTTGCGAATCTCTCCCATTACGCCCTGCGTCCCTGCAATTCCGATTGCCTCGGTCGACATCAGTGTGCTGTCCACGTCCAGTCTGTCCTGCTTCCGTGGTCTACCTCGTTTCTTCACATCACAGACCTCCGGCCTGATCAGAGCATCATGCCCGATGCAACTGTGTAGGGTTGTGGTTCAGACAAGGCCCACATATTATGGAGAGATTCAAAGAGAAAGAAAGCCTTGCAAAAGCAATGACAATCCGGAAATGAGTTATTTTCGATGTGTCATTGTGTGCAGAGACCATCACAAACAGCCTTTTGTTTGGTCAGGACTTTCCAGTTTTGAGATGAACGTCCACGTCCAGTCTGTCCTGCTTCCGTGGTCTACCTCGTTTCTTCACATCACAGACCTCCGGCCTGATCAGAGCATCATGCCCGATGCAACTGTGTAGGGTTGTGGTTCAGACAAGGCCCACATATTATGGAGAGATTCAAAGAGAAAGAAAGACTTGCAAAAGCAATGACAATCCGGAAATGAGTTATTTTCGATGTGTCATTGTGTGCAGAGACCATCACAAACAGCCTTTTGTTTGGTCAGGACTTTCCAGTTTTGAGATGAACGTCCACGTCCAGTCTGTCCTGCTTCCGTGGTCTACCTCGTTTCTTCACATCACAGACCTCCGGCCTGATCAGAGCATCATGCCCGATGCAACTGTGTAGGGTTGTGGTTCAGACAAGGCCCACATATTATGGAGAGATTCAAAGAGAAAGAAAGCCTTGCAAAAGCAATGACAATCCGGAAATGAGTTATTTTCGATGTGTCATTGTGTGCAGAGACCATCACAAACAGCCTTTTGTTTGGTCAGGACTTTCCAGTTTTGAGATGAAAGTACTCAGGTACAGTGAAGGCCGTAGTAATAACGATTGATTGAATAAACCCATTCTCCGAGTAAGATGATCCTCCAGGCAAGGTTCAAATGCGAGTGCTGAGAAGCTACACTGCAGGTATGTATCTCCGAGGTTGCAGGAAGCTGTTCGGACGTCCCGTGGTTCTGGAGGCTGGTGCTTCGTCTGCTGCAGTAGCTGTGTCGGAGGCTCATTTTCCGGTCTAAATTTATGGATTTTATTGATACGTTTCTTGAGGAAGTTTAGTCTTATTTATGCTGTTGCCTCTTGTGTGCTCCGTGTGCGGCTGGTTGGGTTCTTTTCTTTAACTTTGAGTCCTTTTCATTTGGTTTGAGTTCTTCACATTATAAAATTGTTTCGGATTTTAGTTGCATTTGTATCATTAATAAAGTTATGGTTATCATTTATCGTTTACGCTGAATCCACAGGTACTCGTGCCCAGCACCCACAAACCCCCTTGGCTTGGTATGGTTACGACAATAGAAGGCTCAGTTTACCGAGAGAACGGAAAGAGAAGGTTCCAACTAGGGTGGAGTCACAAGCCAATCGTTGTATCAGAAACCCATTTAATGCTAATCATGTCTTGAAAACACACATAAAACCGGCACAGGCTGACGGTCGAAGTCACCGTGAAAGGTAAACTGCTAACCATGTCTAACAGTCACTGGTTTGAGGGAAAGACACAAACGGGAAAAGTCCGAAGAAAAAATTGACCGCCACCAACGGGATTAGAACCAGTGACCATGTCTAATACTAGGGAGGTTCTGCTATACGTGAAACGTAGAGAAATCACGTAGAGAGCAGATGTCTGGGTTAGAGTCTACGGCTTCGCGTGTTTTGGCCCCAGATTTCTACGCGGAGATGAGGTTCTCTACGTTGTGGCACACGCAGAGAAAATGCGTACGGATTTGCTGGGTATCGATCAACTGCATGCAGAAAACTGCCAAATATGGAAGGGGAAATTCCCAGTACACATTCCACGTGACTTCTCTAGGTGAAACGTAGAGCAGAACTGCATTTCCTTACGTTACGGGAACACGAAGAAAGTTCGCGTGATTCTTTGCGTAGCGTTCCCAAAACGTAGAGCAGAACCTCCCTAATGTTTGCACAGAACGGACGCTGGAACCAACTACAGGGCTGGCAACTGAAATCCGACCCATGGGCCTGGTGCGGTCACATCGCAAAGACCCAACGCGGGATGGTAGAACTACAAAACAGAGACCGCCAGCATGTGGACGCACCCTGAGGGGTCGGATTTCAGTTGCCAGCACGGTACATGTACATGTAAGCTGTTGGCGTGTTCACGAAAATGCCGAGTCTTTTTTTTTTTTATCCCACACTGACATGGAGAGCATGCAGTATCAGTGCGGAATATCAAACGCAAGCACAAAATCCACCACTGCACTGCCGCTTTATAAACCCACAGCTTGCGGATCAGAGTGTGTCCTGAACGAGTTCACACAACGGCGTTTGCAGGTCTAGCGCTGCACGCAGGATGGTGCGTATTGAACTGAGACACGCACACAATCAGATTTCACTTTAGCAATACTGTACACATACTTCAACCTGCACATTTATGAGTTTTTGTTGCCAGACATGGCCAAAGACTGTGGAACAGTCTCAGAGGAAAGAGGAAAAAAGATAGCTGAAAGAGACACACAGGAAAAGGAGCCCAGTCGATGCAAAAGGAAAGAAAGTAGAAGAGAAACATGGGCACAACGGACAAAAGTTGGGTAGTTGAAGCGCAGCCAACGGAAAAAAAATAAAAAGCACAATCACATGGTGCAAACGGGGGTAACTTAGTGGAACAACTGACATGCCATTGGAAAGAAAACCTGGCCTACCATGTCTGACTGTTACCGTGCCATATATATTATACTAGAGTGTGTAGAATGTGTTGGGTAGCATAGGCAAGCGGAGGTCATGGCGGCGAGAATAAGGAAGCATAGTAACAAAAACCTTTCATAATTATTTATCTGCTCCATCAGAATCGGCAGCGCACTGAACCAGAAGAGAAGAAAAGTCGAATGGTAATCGCATGCTTTAGATCAGCACACACTTGGTATACTATATAATATTATTATTACGTACATTCCAGCGGCCGCGTCAGCCAAACAAGTGTCAAAGATACTTGCTCAGCCCACACATTCGCTCATGCTGGACATAGGTAGCACGACACAAATACAGACCAAAAGGACAACCCAGCCAGTTTGCCATTCAGAAGAAGAGAAAGAAGGGAGAAGAGAAAAGAACGAATAGAAAAGGAAGGGGTTATATAGAGCGTAGTTATATTTTCCCCTTGTCAGTAATGTGCTGGCTGTCTCAGTATGACAATGTTACCCTGCAAAGGCAATCATCACATCTTCTATGACTCACAGCATACTAACTGATGAATTAAGGTACATGATGAGCCGCGTGTGCTCAACCCTACGTGCACTCATTGTACTGGTTGACCCTTTGACCACCTGGACACACTCCTGTTAGGTAGAAAGACAAAGAGAAATGGAACGGAATCGTTATCAGTGCCTTCCTGGTTTGGCCTGGTGCCATAGGGGAGGGAGAAAAGACCCAAGTGCCATCAGTTTGTGTGGAGTATGTGGTGAGCTGCCTGTGGAGTGAAAAACTTGTCAGCGCCATCTAAGTTCGGCCTGGCCCCATAGCTCAGATGGTTAGAGCATTGCTCATGGCCAGCAAGGTCTGGGTTAGAGTCCTACTGGGGTTGGCATTTTTCTCGCTTTCCTTCAGTTACCTTTTTCCCTGACAGTTTAACTTGATAAAGAAAGTATCTGCTACGAACATCGAAGCTCGCACTCCTGCCGAATTACCGCTTAATTACCTGCAGGATTACCGCCGAAGTCTTCCTTCGTAGTGTTAACCTTGGGCCCAGGGTAACGGCCATCTTCATTGCATACCTCCCATTTGTGGCCATCGCGAAACAATAACCATCTTGAGATGAAACATTTGGTCATCGTCAAACTTCGGCCGTTTCAGGCTTTCGAAAAAGATACGGATCGGCCGTTTTCACTCTTGCATGCAGCCATGGCTCACTTTTTCATCTTGGCCCGCATGGCAAACTTTGCGCGGCGATTTGCTTTGGCCAGTCGACACCAAGCAGTGAAATTAGGGATTTTAATCCTCTACGAAAATTAGTTGATTTAGAATGCCTTTTGTTTCATAGAAAAGAGAAAAGGATCAAGGAACTACAAGTTACGCTATAATCTCCACTGACACCACCAGTCACTTGGCAATACAACTTTGACTTATAGTTCCTCGGCCCTTTAACCCTTTAAGAGCCGCCCCATACATGAATGCGTCGTAAACGACGCATTCAAATGCAAAACTTCAAAAGATCGTAACTCAGTCCAATCTCGCTCAAATCCAGTGATCGAAATATCCAGGGCGAAGAGAAAACTCTCACCTGTCGGGAGAAACAATCCGCGAAGCGCTGCAAGCAACGATTCCCGAGATAAATCACTCGTAAGTTGGGCCGCGATCGCGGCAATTTCAAAAGCGCGCAGTGCGACTTTAGTTTTGAGCATTTTGAGACTTTTCGTCACGCTGGTTTACTCGAATTTGCATGGGTTTCACTGTTGATATTCTCAAGAGTACACAGCGAAAAAATTGGAACTCCACGATCGAGTAAAACGAAATATCTGGTGCGGGACGCAATTGGGCGCATTTGGGGCATTTTTCGTACTGTCGCTGCGATCTAGCGCTGGATAGACGGTGTGCTGGCTATCATGATCGACCTCATTCTCTTCCTCTCGCGGAGACCGTTCCAGGAAGCCCTAGATTGTGAGGATTGAGTGAGTAGAACTGAAGCTATGATCCAAGGAACACGAAAAAATGCAGAATTTTGAAATTTTCCTGTGGCTCTTAAAGGGTTAAAAAAAAAATTAATCTCTGGCCTTCATCCGAGTCTATCCTTGCAGACTTTTGTTCTATTTCGCAAAACCTAACGGGAATTTCTTCCCAAGAACAAGGTGGCAAAGCGATTAGGCATAAGGAAGTGAAGAGGTATACAGTCAACTTGGCTAATAACAACTGCGGGTATAACGACAATTCGCGAATAACGACACAATTTCCATGCTCAGAGCAAGGTCCCATCTAACTGTAATACATTATAATGAGACTTTGGGCATAAGGACACTTTTCTGATGCCCGCCGCTTGTCGTTATACGAAAAGTTGTCCGTAATTAAAATGTTTGCGTGTGTATGCCCTGTAACTGCGGGGGGGGGGGGGGGGGGGGGGGTGGGGGCAGTAACTTACGTATGCAGACTGGCTTGTAGAACGCCCCTGGGTTAACTGGTAGAAGAGAGTACTTTTCCGGTGGCGAAATCCGGGCAACGTAAGTGTATGTTGAAGAAATTCTGACCGGGATTAGGAACGGCGGTCTCACTTCAAGCCTCGGCAACGTATATAGAAACAGGCTCTTGTAGTTATCTGACCCTGACCACATCAACGGAATGGTCATGTTCATGGCGGCGCACAGCTCAGGTACTATGCTCAGCTGAGAGCCGCGAATCAACGGAGATGTTTTGATCGCTACACGTGCGCTGCGCACATATCCTCCGTACGAAATGGTGATAAACTTCCACTTCGCTGTGAACACACACACACACACACACACACACACACACGCACATCAGACACTCAGAAGCATAGCAGATCTGCTCTGTTGTACCGGTAATTCTTGCCTAGGCATACATGGTACATAGGAAAGAGCCACACACGGGAGATGCATTGATGTGTGTTCTAAGTGCAAAGAGACGCGGTGTTCCCTCCAGGTGGTATTTATGGCTACAGCTGCCAGCAGTCATCATCAGGCTACTGTGAGTCTACAAATGTTCACCGCATTTAAATCTCGTCCTCCCAGTGCTGAAACACATTAATTTGGGCAAAAATTAAAATTTAACCCTGTGCTTTCTGCTGTTTTGTATACAGTGTCACATTGAACCTTGCTAAGCAAAATTCCGGCCGCAACAAATTTTAGGCCAAAAATACCCAGGCCGAAAATAGTCGAAAATAAATATGCACCGAATATTAATTTCTGTTGACTTATAGTAAGCTGTATGTGTGACTGGATTGGCAACAAGAATTCTTTACCATGCTGAACATACAGTGCATCCTCACGACGGCTTACTAAATCCTTATATTATGCAATGATAGGTGAACATCTAACTACCGTAGAACGGGTAATTCTAGCGAATATTAATTTTAGCGTTTTCCCATTGTCAACCGGTTAGCGACGCTTCTTTTAGCGAATTTGCATTTTTTCTTCATTGTACACATTTTGATACTGCATTCTACTACTGTATGTACAAACCATCGCTACCGTGTACTATGAGCGCTAGTACGAGAGAACATCATAAAAACATGTGCTTATAATTGCCTTACTACTACTAGACTACTAGCATTACTACTTACTACTCATGGATCACCAGTGCACTACTAATGTCTCAACGGATTAGCGACTAGAAACTGTAGCGAAAATTAGACGATCTCTAAATTCGCTAGGGTTTTTACGTCGCTAAAATTACCCGTTCTACAGTACGTCCTTGTGGAATGTCAGGCAGGTTTGGCAATGCTTGGCTTTCTATGGCTCTAGAGCACCCTGCACCGCTCCAGCACTGGGCAGGTTTGGCAATGCTTGGCTTTCTATGGCTCTAGAGCACCCCGCACCGCTCCAGCACTGGGCAGGTTTGGCAATGCTTGGCTTTCTATGGCTCTAGAGCACCCCGCACCGCTCCTGCACTGGGCAGGTTTGGCAATGCTTGGCTTTCTATGGCTCTATAGCACCCCGCACCGCTCCAGCACTAGGCAGGTTTGGCAATGCTTGGCTTTCTATGGCTCTAGAGCACCCCGCACCGCTCCAGCACTGGGCAGGTTTGGCAATGCTTGGCTTTCTATGGCTCTAGAGCACCCCGCACCGCTCCAGCACTGAGCAGGTTTGGCAATGCTTGGCTTTCTATTGCTCTAGAGCACCCCGCACCGCTCCAGCACAGGGCAGGTTTGGCAATGCTTGGCTTTCTATGGCTCTAGAGCACCCCGCACCGCTCCAGCACTGGGCAGGTTTGGCAATGCTTGGCTTTCTATGGCTCTAGAGCACCCCGCACCGCTCCAGCACTGAGCAGGTTTGGCAATGCTTGGCTTTCTATGGCTCTAGAGCACCCCGCACCGCTCCAGCACTGGGCAGGTTTGGCAATGCTTGGCTTTCTATGGCTCTAGAGCACCCCGCACCGCTCCAGCACTGGGCAGGTTTGGCAATGCTTGGCTTTCTATGGCTCTAGAGCACCCCGCACCGCTCCAGCACTGGGCAGGTTTGGCAATGCTTGGCTTTCTATGGCTCTAGAGCACCCCGCACCGCTCCAGCACTGGGCAGGTTTGGCAATGCTTGGCTTTCTATGGCTCTAGAGCACCCCGCACCGCTCCAGCACTGGGCAGGTCTGGCAATGCTTGGCTTTCTATGGCTCTAGAGCACCCCGCACCGCTCCAGCACTGGGCAGGTTTGGCAATGCTTGGCTTTCTATGGCTCTGGAGCACCCCGCACCGCTCCAGCACTGGGCAGGTTTGGCAATGCTTGGCTTTCTATGGCTCTAGAGCACCCCGCACCGCTCCAGCACTGGGCAGGTTTGGCACTGCTTGGCTTTCTATGGCTCTAGAGCACCCCGCACCGCTCCAGCACTGGGCAGGTTTGGCAATGCTTGGCTTTCTATGGCTCTAGAGCACCCCGCACCGCTCCAGCACTGGGCAGGTTTGGCAATGCTTGGCTTTCTATGGCTCTAGAGCACCCCGCACCGCTCCTGCACTGGGCAGGTTTGGCAATGCTTGGCTTTCTATGGCTCTAGAGCACCCCGCACCGCTCCAGCACTGGGCAGGTTTGGCAATGATTGGCTTTCTATGGCTCTAGAGCACCCCGCACCGCTCCAGCACTGGGCAGGTTGTTCACGGCACAGTGCTGCTCAAAGAAATCCAGTAGAGTCGTCGCTCTCAAGTACGCTCCGCGCATTGTGCAGCCAACGGCCCGCGGACACTGGGCTGCGAAATGGTTCAGGGCGCAAACTTGAGTGATGCAACTGGATTTAAATCAGCAGTACTGTATTGATTATGCCCACAGAGGTCTGAACAAGAGGTCAGGGACTTCACTGCCATCGGAGATATGTGAAAAAGGCCCAGGGGACTGATTATTTTGGGTATAGAATGCTTCCAACTACTGCATAGTCTCCTAGAGCCCAATAGTGGATCATGATATGAGCCAATATTTCCTTTCAACGTTTAAATTTTGTTTAATTGGATTTTCACCTGGTCACCGAGCCTGCTGGCTACAACTTACAGCATATTTGGACGAGTTTCTATCACTCGAGTTGAACCTTCGAACCTTCGAGTTGAACCTTGGTGTGAAAGTTGTCGCCTGCTGGCGTGGTTACCAGTTGATTGGTGTACGCAGGAGCACGTGACCGCTTGTTCAACCATGTTCGATGAGGAATATGGGCCAAACGCTACATCGCAGCCTTTTCGGACCAAAACCAGTCGACATATGGGCCAATCGCCGTCATCCGTGCTTATAAGAACGAAATAGCGCTTTTAGTGACATTTTGCATACAAATCCCCATCTAGTAAAGCGCAGTCACCCAGTTTCAGTGGAAGTGCGCGAGTTGGATTGGGAATAAAGGAGGAAGGGAGCGTCTCAACTTCCTCGGACCAAGACCATTCGACTCAGCACCCCGAAGACTACAACTGGTGAAAATTTGATTTCAGACTCAACTTCCCCTTTAAGAGTCGGTGAATGATTTCGCCAAGCTCCAAAGGTAAAGAGTTCGGTTGATCGAATATTAAGCCAAATGGGCCATGAAACATGTGGAGAAGTCATAAAATTACAAATCAGTGGGGGCGAAGGATGTTACGCACGGTATTACCAGTACAACCATGATCATGCCACTTTCAGTCCAGTATGGTCCGCTCAGAACAACTGTAGAGCACTGAAACGTGCCCTGTTGGCCGAAAATTCCGCCCCCCCCCCCCCCCCCCCGGACACCCTCCCCCGGACACTCCCACTCCTCCCCGCACACCCCCGACCCTCAGTCGTGCCACTCTACACTCCCCTGTGACGCCCCTGGTAGACATCAGTGCAATTCGACAGGCAACGGTCATTGCTCGACTTCACTTACATTCGCATATGACATCACTGGCTGGGTCGGCATTGGGACCGGTTGTGGAAACTCGGGGGCGGAGATCCGACCTGCTGACGCTGTACAGGGACTTCACACCATGTCTATTAAGCCAGACCGATAACTGCTGGTGATAACCAGCTAGGACGAGGCGACTGGCAAGGTTGTGAAACGCCCAGCCGGCCCTGTCAATATGCGAGGTGGACGCAATGCTCATCGACAATGAAGCGCACGCCGCCTGAGCGTCTCGCCAACCGTGACGACCACCATGCTGGGCACATTGACTCGGGGATTCATCCCTGGATGTACAGCCCGAGTCTGGAGCCAGCCACAGGCTGATTTCATGACCAATGGTATTAGTGTAAGAAGCGAAGGCACCTGCACATACAGCACAAAAACACAGCCCATGGAATCATTTCTAAAAAATAAAAAAGGACCAAGGAACTACAAATTAAACTATAATGTCCACTAACACCACCAGGTACTAAACAATCAGCTAATGCGATAACATCACACGACAGTACTGACGATCTACAACTGACTGGCTAACAGCTCTAGCACATCTTGGATGCGCACTCCAACAACTTGGAAGGTTCTAAGTTAGAAATAGCATAAGAAGGGGGTAATCCGAGTCCATTCAATGGAATCACAATGATCATATCATAACATTCACACGATTGCATCAATAGCAGGGGCCACCAGAACCGGTCCGGTTGGTCAGGTTATCACTGGACCAACGTTTCGGCCTCCAACATTTACTTCTGTGGAGGGCATGTGTACCTGTCCCATGTCATGCACAAAGTATGACAGGCACTGAAATTATCGGAGCAACCAAAAACTGCTTCCGACAATCCTGAATGGGAGAAACATGCAGTTCAAAGAAGAAGAAGTCGACCTTTGAACATTTGCAATCGCCAACCCAGTGTAGTCCGGAGATCTCAAACAAGTTGCTAAACTCCATCTGCTCATTAACGTGGTACACTTGCCTGGACGGCTAGTCAGTTGGCTCTCTGCTGGTCATTCTATTCATTAGTGTATGTTTATACTCGGTTGGAGAGCCAAATATTATTCATATGAAGAAAAGAGTATCACGGAGCTATAAGATACGCTATAATGTCCACTAACATCACCAGTAACTAAACAATCAGCTCATGCGATAACATTGCACGACACTGACCGACGGCACTGACGCTCTACGCCTTATCCCACTCTCGCATGTTATCGCATACTATCGCACAAGCTAATTGCGAAGAAACTGGTGGTGTTATTAGACATTATAGTGTTACTTGTGGCTCCTCGGTCCTCTTCTCTTCTTATAAATACCATAGAATCCCGCGGATAAGCCCACCCGCATATAAGCCAATGCCTGTGCATAAGCCCAGGGTTTGTTCGAACATCACAAAGCTTCATCGTACAAGCCCATGGGCCTAGGTCATACCGAGAGTCCATAAATTATGGATTCTTGGCCATACCATGTACGTAGAACATGCACATTATAGTTTTTTCGTACATTTCAGCACAACCATCGTTTGTTTTTGTGTGCACAGTGGTTTTCAGCAATGTACTTCTCACTTCCTTGGTACTTTTCAATAGCACAACTTGGTGTCGGCGTATAAGCCCATGCCCGCGTATAAGCCCACCGAAATGTCCTTGTGAAACAGATAAGCCCATGGGCTTATCCGCAGGATTCTACGGTGTTTTTTCCTTTGCTATCAGGTTCAGCATTATTTCTCGGAGCTGCGCTGATGCATTGAGTCCACAAAGGAATAAACAGCTCTACCCCGCAGATAGAACAACCCTTTAATCGCACGATATTGCAGATCCTCTACATGATGTACATCTAATTCGATCCCATAGCCATCTTTAGAATAAGGACTAGACATGACAAAGACGATTACGGCGATGTAAATGATGTCGAAAGCAACAAGAAAGAGACATTATCGGATTTTTAAGGCAGAACTACAAACACCAACCGGCTTAGTAGGGATGCAGACACTGTAATCGTGACCAATTTTGTATTATATAAAGTCATACGACTCAGCAGGGGATCTCCAGTGATGTCATTGCAGCATGACCACTTGACGTCATGACACCATCTCCAGTGATGCCATGACAACTTATCCATTGACGTCATTCCAGCATTATCAGTGCCGCTATGACTCCGAGGCCATGACTGTATTTCCCATTGCGTCATGACACCATCTCCCATGATGTCATGGCCACAGGATCAACAGTGGCGTGACAGGCTCACAGCAGCATTTATCAGTGAAAGTAAATGCTTACTATCACAGCATCGGCAGTGGTGACTAGACCGTTTCACCAACAACACAACCATGCCTAATCCAGCGATGTCATCCAGTGCTGTCATCCAGTGCTATCATCCAGTGATGTCATCCAGTGATGTCATCCAGTGATGTCGTCACATCAAGGCCAGGGTCAGAGTGAGCTTATTGTGCACTGACTAACAAGCAGTTTGTATCGCCAACACACCACACAGCTGCCCGGGCATGGTTTTTTGTGCACTGCCAGGCAGTGCACTGCTGATCCCACCAGTACATTAAAATACACAACTCTTGCAATCCACGTTTGGCCATGATGTGCAATGGGCGGCTCATCTTGGACTGCAAGTCGAAAGCAAAAAGACGTCAAAACTTACGGTTTTCACAACGCTTGCCTACCCACCCAGGGAGACACCTGCATACGGCAGCATTGGGTACGGATCTGTCTACAAATCCATTATCACACAACACTGAAGCGCAGGGGGAGGACAAAAATTGATACACAACAAATGACACCATGTCAGCAAGATGCAAACTGAACGAAGAGAGGGCATCAATCTTTTAACCTCTGAGAATGTATGCAAGAAACATGACAGTCCACTGATCCAAAATACCTGGCTTTTGAAAGCCCGAGCTTCAGAATTGAGGCTCGAGATAGCACTTTAATAAATTGGGCAAAACTTGGGTGTGGGGTCTGCTTCCCTATGCATTGTGCCACGGCATACATGTCACAATGGTGCAACACTTCGAATCCCCTATCCTTGGATTTTCCGGCCTCGGATATGGCACGCTCTCCATTACACGGGTCACACACTGCAGGATGCACTGGTATTTGCTGTGCATGGGAGACACAAGAAAGCCAGCGGTCCAGCGGTTGGCAGACTTTATTCTCTCTCCTTCCCATTCTGATGACACTCAGTTATGTTGCTTCCCG